AATGATTCTTCTGAAATCAGTGAGTTTAGATTCAGCACGGTTAAAAGCCCAAGATATYCATTCTGTAATTTTATCACAACCCACTGAGCATTTCAACTTGTAAAATCACTCAAAGCCTTGTAGTAAAAAAGGAAAGCTAAGTGGATTCATAGTCAGTTTATGAAACAAAAAGTGTTTCAATGACCCTGCTCTGTGTGTGGTTGGGCTGTGTCCCTGTCTGTCCAACAATTCTGCCTCCACTAAGAACGTCAGGAGCTGGAAGGCAGCTKCAGCCACTTTTAACAGAGATGCAGCTGGTAAATAAGCTGCCTACATGCCTTTGCACATCCATGCACAATCTTAACTTTGTTTTCTTTCACTCTGCCTTTCACAGAAAAACCCCCATGCAGTGTGGTGTCACTGCACCTAGTATTATTTAATTCCATATGGAAGTTACTGGTGTGAAAAAAAAGGAAAATTTTCGTGACTCGTGACTGCCTGCTGCAGCCTGAGGAACACAGAAGCACCTTTTCTTTGACAAGACTTACTTTTGCTGACTTAATTACSAGTTGCTCAATATCACATCAAGAAGGCTGGGATGAAAGTCCTCTCTGTACCAGCTGACAAAACCAGGTATAGCCAGGAAAATGTGTGTGCTGGGATCAGTTCCAGCCGTTTGATGTTTGCCTGGGAGGATAATTAGACTTTCAGCAGGTTTTGCCTCATGCTGTGTTTTAYCCTGGGACTCTGTAATTTTAACTTTCCTCAGCTGCTGAGTGATGCTCAGGTGACCCAGGAGGGGCCTTTTGTTCCACCCCAACKTTGACTCTTGGGGACAATGCTGTGTTCTCACTCAGAGCATCCCTCTGAGCGTGTAGCTTTCCCAGGAGTATAGTCTTCACATGCCTCCTTTTTCCAGCATCCCTTTGTGTGGCAGCACTGTGTCCATAGCTAGCATCCCAAAATCCAGAACAGGAAAAAGAAGACGTTTTTAGTGTCTCTTAGTGACACTGTGTAGACACGTAATTCGTATAAATTACGAAGTAAATGCATTCATTTACTGAAGGTTGCACAGGGTAAGGTCCTGCTAATGCAATTTAAATAAACACACATTTCAAATGCCTGTGATTGTCTGTAAGACAGAAGACAGTGTGGTGTGACATCCTGGTCAGGAGGGAGAAAATGAATTCTGCCWGTTGGGGCTCTCTCTGTCTGTGGGCTGAGAGCACAGTGGGAAAGCCATGCACTCCTCCTTCCTTCTGGCTTTTTCTTAGACCTCTAAACGTGATTAAAAACACACATTTCTCTATAGCAATTCCAACGTGTGTTTCCATGAAAGCAACTTTGAGTGGTTGTTTAATACATTTTGTTTAGAAAAGCATCAATTGTATAAACTCCATTTGTTCTAAAAAAAACCTGATTGCAGTTCAACAGTTCTCTGTGAGTCCTCTACCATTACAATTTTACAAGATATTTAGATTATTTTATTAAGAAATGTACTAGCATCATAAAATTTGCTTTCATCTTAATTTCAMGTTTTACCAGTATCCTTCTATTTTATTTATTTTTGCACAAGTTCTATTAAGGACAAGTCTCTAAATGTAATACTGCTTCTTTGTCAATCCTTTTTCAGAAGAATAACATTTCATCTCTTAAAAGAAAGGTTATATGTAGAATCACAAAAATTATTAAGGTTGGAAAAGACCTCTAAGATCGTAGAGTTCAACCATTAACCCAGCCCTGACAAGTCCAGCACTAAACCACATCCCCAAGTGCCACATCTCCACATTTTTTGCAAACCTCTAGGGRTGGTGATTCCACCACTTGCCTGGACAGCCTTGTTCCARTGTTGTTGCCCTTGTTCCACTGTTCCAGTGCTTGACAGCCCTTCCACTGGAGCAATTCCTAATGGAATGGTACTAACACCACAAGATTTCCTGAACAGAATGAGMATTAAACTATAAAAATTGTTTTCAGTAAGAATGTTTTGTATGTTTATTAGTCTAAGGTAGAGAACACTTTATTTTGAAGTGTCTTAAACATTTTTTTTTTAATTCAAGCACACTCTTGAGGAAGAAAAAGGAGAGAAACTGGGAAAAAAAGGAGCCATGGAGATTGTGAAAATGTGTAGTGCAAGAGGCATTAAGTCCTAGTGGTTTTCTTAACTGTGTGTGAGTTACATCACAGGAGATTCTTACACAATTCTGTGCACTGCTCTTTTGGGGCCTCCAAAGATTTTACTTTATGATCAAGCACTCAGCATTTTTAAATATAGATCCTCATAAAGCCTTGATTAGATACAGAGAAATTACAGCAGTACAGAACTTACTTAGAAAAGTATTTTATGACTTATCCAATGATTTTATTTCTGATAGGAGATGTGTCAAACATGTAACTGATCCCATCAAATCTGACAAAACATTCACAGCACATTCATATTACACCTTTTTCATGGTCCTTGGTCCGCATTCTGCTGTCCATCTGCAACTGACACAAAAAAGGAGAAAAGCTGTGGTGCTGTCCCAAACCCACTGGGCTACCAGCCAACATCTTAGAGAGCAATTTCTGTAAATAATGTCTAGCTCTCCTGCTGTGTTCTGTCCTGGAACTTGGCTTTCCTGATTCCACCCCTTCTCTGAGATCCAAGAGGATGCTCTGTGTTCATCAAGCAGCCATTTTACCGTGGCAAGTCTTAAAAATCAAAGTATCCTGAGAGGAAAGAGGAGGATGCACTGAGCAAATCCTACTCTTGCCACTGTTGCTTGGCAATTTTTATCCTTTCCAAACTGCTGAGCCTAAGTTCCTTACTCTGCTGAGGTGGGGGACGATTGCACAATATCCCAGAAATCCCAAAGAGATGTAAGCACAGGKTGCAGGAGGGAAAACCTCCCTGGATATAAGCAGGGCTTTGCCTGAGGATAGGATCACATCTTGTTCCTGCTTTAGAATCCATTTCTTAAAAGCTCAGACCTAGTGCCTCACAGAAACCCAGGGATTTGTCAGGCTCTGGTATTTGGGTGACAGCCAAGGGGAAATTTTAATGCAATACCTTTCAGAGCAGGTGAACAAAAGCTCCCCCTTTGTGCCTGTGAAATCCTCAGTAAATGTCATGGCTGTGCCTGGCAGCTGCAGGATCAGTTTGAGCCCTTCAGCTGAAGCTGGGACATTCACTAAGCCACTAACAACAATGTGGGGTGATGTCCAGAAAAGTGAAGACAATTGAAAAAAAAAAACAAAAAACAAACAAAACTCCCTGAATTCCAAAGGTTTCAGAATTCCGCAATCTGGTGCATCAGTTTTAAGAAACTCAAACTGTCAATCATTGGAAAAAACAGACAGGACTTGGCTGTAAGAGCCTGGCAATCACCTTATTTCTTATTTAGTTATTATTTTTATTTAAATAGATTCATTTAAAACAAACTCAAAAGCATTACAACTTAATGTTGCAGTACTAAATGATCTTTTAATTACTACCACTTTACAGTGATTCAAAAGYGGGAAAAGATGTGGCATAAATGCTGAATTATTTTTTTACCTACCACAAAAACTTTTAAAAAACCTTTTTTCAGTTAGTTATATTTCAAGTGCTCAGCAGAGTTGATTCATTGGTGACAGCCAAGAAACTGAAACCACAGGGAATGCCTTAAAAATACCTCTGTGTGTCCACCTATATTTTTGGGAAGAGTTGATGTTTCAGATGTTTCTCCTTCTGCCTCCTTTAGACAAAGGACCACACTAAAGTGCAGCAATCGTGTGTTCTTTGAATGTGTGTGAGGATATCATGATTTAAATGAAAATACATTCATCCACATCATAATTGAAATTTCTATTTATTAATAAGTGGTGCAGTTTTTAAAGACAGAACATAAAAAAATCAGTTTAGAAGTATTGTTTGCATAATATATTGAAATAAACATATTAAATTTGTTCAAATATTGGACAGTGCCAGAATAGAAATTACACATACAGTTTAAAAATTACAATAAATAATATTATAAAGAGCACTAAAGGCCACTTGTATAAAAGTTGTGTTCCCTTGTCAGCCAGAATCTGAAAAGCATCTTTGTAGCATGRAGAAAATTTCAGTGAGCAAGGCACAAATACTAGTAATAATAAGATGCCATAACTAGAAAACAAAATGCAGTTGGCTATGTAACCTTCAGTCTCAGCATGTTCTTCATGATGGAAATAGGATCCCATTCTCAGTATTTTGCTTCACTTAACTTCAGAGGGAAGCCACTCAAAGCTGAATTGGGAAGGATCAAATCTTACAGCCTAAATAATCAGAAGCAAAAGTGATACCCAGGATTTTCCTTCCCACAATGCCCAGTTAAAAACACCTGAWATGTCCCTTTTTCCTCTGCACCTCTGAAAAGTGTTCAAAGTGAACATCCTGAAAAAGGGGCATCCCACCAAATCCATGAGGTGCTCCAGGAAATTTAGGTTTGCAGCTCTTGGGCACCTAAAGCTCGGTGGTGGGGACTGTGGGGTGCAAGGAACCCCGATCCTGCTCTTTCCTCATGGAAAGCAGGACACATTTCATTCTTACCTAAGCAGATGTGGCACCTCTGCAGCAGCTGGGCTCCCAGCAGGGATGAGTTTGCTCCTCACTCTGCGCTTTCTGTTTGCTTTAGGCTGTGATTTTACAAACTGGATGGACCTCAGTGCTCTCCTGAAGGCCACAAGGCAGCGGCCCCGCTACGCCCAGGCTCGGATGGGCTTTTGTTTGCAGCACTCCTGGGCCACCATTTGAAGCAGAAAAATTTAAAACTATTTCCACTCTGGACCGTAACAATGCAGCAATGTTACAGACAAAAACAGAGCAAATGTAGCCAAAGTCAGTTTAGGGACTTTTTAATTAATCCCTCCATGGKTTGAATTCCCTTTTATTTTGATAGGAGCCAGACTGATTAATTCAGTGCAGGGAAAAGCCAAGTCAAGGACAACAGTCATTACCTGAATAGATTTTTTTTTTAAGTGCCAACTCCTTAAATAGAGCATAAATCACATTTACGATATCTGGATCCTTCAACTAAGCCTTCACTTCTGGCTTAATCAAATACTCCCAGTTTGCATCTAAAGCAAGAAAGCTTAATTGATAATGATGCTGCAAAGAGAGGCACACMATGTAAACACAGATCCACCTTTTTGAAAATTTCCAGACATGTGGCGTTCGTTAGGGACTGAAAATCAGTCTAAAAATGTAGCCAAGAAAAATGTCTCCAGATCAGTGCTGTCTTTCGCAAAGAAATTCATAAATAGAGGCAAATTAGAACCCAGCCCTGCTCCCAGTGCATCAGTGTGAGAAGGTTTCTAACTTACTTCAAGGAGAGCAAAGCACTACACTTTCTAATTATGAAAAATATCTCAAGGCCTGAACCGAATTCAGAGTCATCAAAGTTGATAATAGTTTCTAATGTTACCTRCTGTAAACAAAGTGTGTCAGTTGAGATGCTGGAATGATCTGACCCAAAGAGAATTGAAAATTCTTRAACTGAACCATCACGCAGAAGAAGAAATAAATCTAATTAATTCCTATTATTAAGATTAGTATTGACCCAGATACCTCTTTCAGATGAAATTGTGAATAAAGATTCCTTATGTGTGGAACAGGCCCTGACCTCCTTCACGTTACTGGGATCACAGAGTTTATTTTGCTTTGCCCAGTGCCCATGGCAGGCACACAAACTGCAGTTCCAAGGTGGATGCACTCCATGGACTCGCCCTGACTGGAGCTGATGAGGTTTTTGTGCACAGCCCAGATCAGGGATGGTCTCCAGATCTCACYTTGCTGGTGACACCTTGACACTGTAACTGTTCTCAGCACACACAGCAGAGCTGATGGATGCCCTGTTTTTAATCCTGATGATGCAAAGGGCAGAGGGCTGCTAGGAACAACACCCTTATGAACAGGGCAGTGACAGGTTTCAGTGCTAAGAAGGAAAAATAAATATTAAAATGAGTTAATCAGATCTTCCTTGTCTCATTTCTTCGATCTCCTTCAAAAGACCCACAGGTGTCCACTGCAGAGGGTTTTATTGGGTTTACCAGCAGTGCTTTTTAAGAAGAGGAAGACTCTATCATAAAATTTTTCATGATGTGGCTACAAATAGCTGACCTGATGCCTTTAAGCTGGATGTAACAAATTGGTGTTTACAAGACAGAGAAAACACYAACTTAAAAGACAGTTCAGCTGCTAAGCATGCAGAGTGCAGAACAGCCCAAATCCCACTTTCTCTGGGTCTGTATTCTATGTGCAGGTGAAAATTTATCCAAATCTCTTGGATTCTCTCTCAGAAAGAACATATCTTTTTAATAAAATAATTTATGGGTTTTCAGCCTGGTTTAATACTGAGAAAATGTTCCTTTTATATCCCCTGTCATGGGAGAGAATAGAAATGTCAACTGAAAATTTCACTGGGAACTGGGCAGGGAACTGCATGGGTAGCCACTATCAAAGACAGTCACAAACAAATTTCTCACACAGTGCCTGCTTTTTGGCTGCCTTTATTTTTGATTGCTCACATCTAGAAAGCACTTWAAGAAGGGCCAAACTCAGATGAAATCATGTAGGAATGACAGTAGGAATGACAGGCCTGTGACATACAAGAAAAGTGAGGCAGTCTTGTCTGGCACATACACCAGCTTCAACACTGTAGCAATGTTAAAATAATTTTTTTTTCTTTTACTTTCATTCTGTTGTCAGGTGAGGGTTAAATCATACAAGCTGCCACAGACATCTATYACTGTTTCAGAAAGCCTGCAGCAGGTGCAATGCAGGTATTTCCAAGAATCACTGATGGTCAAAAAATCCTTCTCAATATGCCAAATTATAATGAATTACACTTTTGTCATTTAGTTTTGTTCTTTGCAATTTTAGCTACAAAACTGTGCCAAAACCAAATTATATTTCAGGTCAGTGACTACTTTGTCAATTAAGTAATTACTAAAATTATGCCTCATGTGCTCATAGTTACTGGCCTCAGACCATCTCCATGGACTCAGATCAGTCTTCAAAGGCCGTAACTGCTCTGCATTATTTAATCCAGTAACAACAGCAATTTGTTCTCCCTGCAGATCCACTCCAGAAGGATAAATCATGATTTAGCTGAAGAAGCAGATGAAGTAAGAAGATCCTAATCCTTTAGATGTCTCTTCCAATAGAGAATAAACAATGGAGATGAAGGCAATGCCCACATCTGGGAAAGAACAGGAGCTCCCTGGCTGGAAAGAGGTATCAATAAAACTGAGGAATTAAATAAGAAGTTTGCTATGGTGGACAAAACCCAACAAAATATCTTCCACTGAATCTCTCTCTATCCAGGGCTGTGCAATACCCAGGAACTACTGGAAAGCCCAGTAAGGTGTTGTGTTCGGATTGGATGTGCCAAGGAATCTCAGTTGTGCAGCTGCTGTATAATACAAACAGTCATTACAGAAAGTCCCTTTTCTAACATCTTAACTGGGTCAAATTCTTGCATCTYTGTTGGTCAGTGCCCTGGCCATGGTAGGGAATTCACTGTGGGGAGTGACAAGGGGCATTGTGGACATGAGGTGGACATGAGCCAGGGCATTATCTTGGATCAGTGAGGGAGAGGGGAGAGCCTTCCCGCTGACTGTGTGGGCTCTGATCCTCTGCCATTAAACAATTCACCCTCTGCTCTCTTYGAGTTTGGTATAAATTTGCTCACTGCAGATAACTGAGTTAAAGGTGAAATAAATCTCATCCTAAAGTCAAGGTGTGCCTTGTTTCCTGTACCCTGTGCTCACTGGCTGCTCTGCTTCATTTCCCAGCTGTAGAGAGTGTACAACCATCCAACATCCCATGGATGCTTTTTCATGGACACGTGGACTGACACCAGGTGAGACCTGCATAGGATATTTGGATATGCCAGTTTCACCAGCTTTGTGTACATTCCCATTCTAGTGGTGAGATCTTTGATTCATTTCTTTCCAGTGGGGTGAATTATTTTCCTGGTCTCCCTCTCAATAATTTCCAATGTCAATGAAAAAAACATTTGGCTGAGACCTAGGGAGTATACGGATCTCCGTTGTTCAGGGACACATGACAAAARTGGTGATTATTTATTCATACATTAGTTTTAAATATAGCACACATTCATGGCTTTGGAGCATTCCATTTTCCAGAGACAAGGTAAGCAGAGAGAAAGAGATGCTGTCAGCATCCCACACTGAGGGACTTGAAGGGAACAGAATCGCAATTTTCTGCACACCTGAGGAGCTCCAAGCACTTGGCAAACATTAGAGAATCGAGCCTTTCAACCTGTGAGCATGTGTGGGAGTGTAACTCCTGATAAACAGATTGGGAAACTKAGGCTGAGTTACATTAGGCATCTTACTTAGCAGCACCTAAGTCAATAAGAGTACGGTGGATAAACCTGGAGTTCCCTACACTGAATAACCTTATTTTTGGAACAGAAAGAAAATGTAGCCCCATAAGTAGCAAACAGACTTAGCAAAAGAGTTTCTACAAAACAGCATTGTAGTCGTACTTTGAGCAATTTTATAAACATTAGTGAAGATTTTCAAAGTAGATTGAGGGATTTCTATTTACATTTTCCAATAAATAAATACCTATGATCAATCCCAGGAGATGGCTTTGATGATTTGAAATCCTGTCCTCAATTTCATTTCAATGTTGTATTTCAGGGGTAATTATTTAAGAGATCACATAAAAAACATTTAGTTCACAAAAACATTTCAATAAGGTCGTACTTTGATTCAGCTTTTTCCCTGCTTTTGATATTAGAAATTCTTGGCTTGGTTAATTAGAGACTGATTTGCTTTATCTTAGAAAATGATTCAGACGTTATGTTTGCACAAAGGGATATTGCTCCTGAAAATCTTTTTATTTTGCTGCTCTGTTTACAAAATGTAGCAAGGACCACTGTATCTCATCTGTTATCAATTCACCATTGTGGTATGGAAGAGTTTCAGATAGATATGTATCATAGAAGAAATCAGCTGTACCATTTATATAGGGCAAAGTCATGCAAACCATGCTCAAAACTAAGCTCCTTAGTTTTGGTAGCATGAAAAAAACTGCATTAGTAAATTGTATGAAATGGTGCAGAATGACTACCACTAATATCACATGCATCTTATGCAGCCATTGGTGTTTTGAACTAGTAAGCTTTGGGTGTAGAGTAAGTGAGATWTACAAAGTATGCTTACATCACAAGGAGAAGTCAGCCAGTGACTGCCCCCACACACACTTTTAAACTGGCTTGTTTGAAGGGGTCCATATTGAATCTGAAATCCCATCTCCCGTCGAAGACAAAGGCATGGAGCCACTTGGTGTGAAAGGGTCTGTGTCTGTGTCTGTCTCCCCCTCGGCCAGGTAGCGTTTCTCTCTCATCCACGCCGATCCCCCGTTGGGGCCGAAGGGGAAGTCGTCTCTCTCTTGGGAGATGCTGAAGCCGCTCGGGGAGCGCTCGAGYTCCTCGTGGTTGACGGAGAGAAGGGACAATGGAGTATCACTGTCTCTTGTTAGGCTCCTCCTCTGCCTCGGAGACACCTTATCTGAGTAAGGGCTTTGCAGGTCCCCTTGGGAGTGGTAGCTAACCTGGGAGTCCATTAACGTGAATATAGGCAAAACWGTTGGCCTTTCTGCATATGAAGTTGAGGAAGGTGTGGCTTGCAGTTTGCCAGAGTTTTGCCCACCTATCGATAAAGGTTGTGAGCGAGCCATGTGACCCCGTGCTGAGAAACCATAGGGACTGACTTTGTTGACTGGAACCTGCTGGAAGTTGTAAGGAGTTTCACGAGCACACTGCTCAGTGTATTTGTATATTATTGTTTTTAATTCAGAATATTTGTTTTCTTCTCTCTTCTCCTTTGCGGGAGAAGCGGTTTCTTTCAATGGACTTATCTCAGCGACTTGGATTTGCAGCTGTTCCATATGATGCATATGCATATCAACGAGAAAATCCAGTTTCCTCCCCATGTCATTTACCTGAAAAATGCCAACATCATGATATTGTCTCAAGTCAGTTGCTCCAAAAGAGTCCACTGTTCCATGCATGCTCTGCCCCCAGAAATGGTGTGCTACCATCTTTATTGGTCATGAAGGTGTAGGATCTGCAGGATAACCATGACCATGCCCCAGAAGCTAAGCTGAAATGGGTGACAGCTTAGCCTCCAACTGCCTCAGAATAAGAAGACCCATTCCTATAAACTGGGCCAAAAAAAATTCTTAGCGTTGCTGGATATTTAATAGCCTAGTATCCAACAGGATTCTATAATATGACAAAATCTTGACACCAATGCTAAATAGCTGTTACCAAAATACAACTTATGGAATCACCTTTGCGTGCAGACCTATTCTAACTCTGAATCACAGAATCACAGAATCAGCTAGGCTGGAACAGACCTTTGAGATCACTGAGTCCAGTCTATGACCCAACACCACCTAGTAGTCCCACAACATCAGGGTGACATATCAGGATTAATTTCCTTTCCCTTTGGATAGGGCCTGAAAGCAGACAAACATTTTCTGTGCCAGACCCTACAGAAAAAGGGTTTGCTCACAACAAACACCAGATGTGGTGAGTATGRACATTACAGGAATGAAACAGTCCCATTTCAACATCATGGCTAGGATCTTTTGCCATGCACAGGGACATTGATTCAACAAGTTTCAAAATGCACATTTCCCAGGGAAGTAAATCCTTTCACAAAAAACTAACAACATAGTTTTGTGATCATTAGAACAAGATCTGGGTGAGCTTTGACCACCACCAACACAATTCTGCCTGGTTCAGCCAAGGAGTCACACAGAGTTTATGTCAGCTCTATCACTTTTGAACAAACACCTCCATYATTGTCATCAAATTACCCACCTGTCTCTCAACTTTAACAAATTTGCCCATCATACTTTGGTCTTCAGTATCGGCTGTGGATGCTTTGGCTACATATGGTTCATTTCTATAAAGAGTTAATAACTCTGTTAGTGTTCAATATTTCTTTGCATCATAATAATCAATTTGCATCAGAAAACAGAATTACCATCTTGGAGATTTATTCACACAGATCCTTGGAGCCCATTTAGCTGTTTATACAAACAGGAGTGAAAGTCTATGTGATGTTAATGCATTCCTAAAAAATGTAGTCTTGATTTTTAATTTAATTTTTTTTTTGTTCAAGTTTAAGATAAAGTTTTAAAAAAACCCAGAAGTTTAAACTAAAATTTAAATTAATTTCTCTCTTGTTGGAATAATTTCAGATTTGTTAAAATTATTGAGATAATGCAGTTAGTGGGTCGACAGATGGCCATGTGTTTTTAAATCTAATGCTTTATAATTAGTGCCTTTGGAGACTGAATCTGAGTTTCAAGGATGAGTGTGGTTTTTTTCTCAATTTCATTATATCAAATAGTAAGTGTCAGAGATTGGAAACTCTGAAAAAAGACAGTATGATCAGGAGATTTAAAGCTGATTCCAGAATAGGATTTCATCTATGCAATTTTCTCCTGCCTGTCCATCAGATGGACCAAATTCATTTGGTTAGAAGGTGATCTCTAACTAAAGAGCTTTGATTTATAAATTCATGAAGTCTAAGATGCTCATTATCAAGTTAAAYCTTTATCAAATGGTTTCCAAACCAACCTCAAAGGAATCAATGTCTTCCCATAACATATGTCAAAGTCTAGAAAAACAATTTCTAAGYACTTGCTCTTTAACATTATTGGGAACAAATATACTCTAAAACTTTTAACATGTCCAGTTCTTCTSTTTCTCACAAAATCCAAAATATAGCTGTGAATAAATGTCACCAGAGTAAAATCTATATCTAAAATATATCAGATTTTCTGCATTGGGTTACTGTTGATATGGACCCATGTGATTTTTGCAATCTGCTTTCCTCCCCAAATKGTCACTACCTCTTCCACACACTTAGGTCTCTGTCTTCACATTTACATGGTTTCAGATCTTTCCCTGAGTGGGATAATTTATTTTCTGTAAGATTGCTTTTGTTTTGAGCAACCACAACAGCTTTGGGGRCAGATTGTTGATGGTCTTGTGTGGTTCTTGATGGGTATTTATTGACAGATTGATAGTTGTAAAAAACAGAAGAAATGTCATTTCTTACTGATTTTTTTCCCGTGAGGAATGCGGCAATACAATAATATAGTGCAACTTTCACTCTCAGAAACCTGGTATTACAATTTATTTTGAGTATCTCTCACCAGTCATTAGTTTAAAAGCAGCATTAAACATCTCTACTTGCCATTTGGYGAGATTTTTTTCACTTCACAAAGATAACTAGTTCACTTTCAAATTGTGTTTTTTATTGAGCTTTTAAGTGGGTTTAAAAGATAAATGTTAGAAATCTAGTGCATCAGCAATAGAATTCATGTACTTAGTTTGAAACCAGATTTTTAAACTGTGGAGGAGCTGAGCTGGGCAATTGAGAAGCCACTGTTTAGATTTCATCACACATTGTTCTTAGAGAAGCTTTCTGGCTCAATATTTGCCGACATGCATCTTATAGTCACATATCCTCTGAGTATCATTACCATAACAGTGGATGAACAGAGATCATGGTATTTGGAATGAATTAACATTTTATTCCTGTATTGGGTTGTGCTAAATACTAGGTATAAAGGAATTCACCTGGGAGACTGTTGTGAAGGGTAAGAAAAAGCTCCTCCCTTTTGGGATTTCTTATGCTTGGGAGTAGATGGAGGTCCAGGTGTAAAAATCATATCTACTCTGAAAAAAAGAAAAGTRCAACTGCATAAGTTCATCTCCAAATGCTAACACATGAGAGAACATGGAAATATATTGAGAGTCATGATGTGTCTTCTCTTTTCTGGGTCCACAATCAATGCACTGAACTGCAATTACCTCGTAATTTTATGGTAAATTAAATAATGCTCTAGCCCACTGTTTCTGAGCAGCAACATTTGAAACACGACTTCCTTTCTTTCAGAGGAACCAAACTGTGTGGTGGTCAAAAAATATTCATTAGCAGCTTCTCTTAAAAATGTCAGGAGACCCATCAGATTTTGTGCAGGATAATGAAAACCAGAACTTGGCAAAAGGTTGAATTTCTGACATTTTTAATAAACCGATAACATTCTGTCAGTTGTTGTCTCTAACTGTCAGSAATATTTTTGTCTTTACTAATAATTCTTTTGGCTTGAAAAAATGTAACTTTAAATGAAGTTGCATAAGGAAGCCTACTCGATTTTTTTATTTGTCACAAAAGCAGAAAAATTGTTTGCAATGCTCCAGCATGTATAATTACACTTTTACTATATCAAATATTCTTTCATTTGTCATATCCAACTGCTCAGGTGCAAAGGAATCTCTGTTTATTCAGCCCACAACCCAGACTGACCACATATCCATCAGCACCAGTCCACAGAGCAGTTATCTGCATTTTTGGACATTCCATGCAGATATCTTTCATGGCTTCTCAGTGCCCCATGGAGTTTTGAAAATGGAACACAAAAAAGCTCCAGGCAAGCCTCACAAAGCTCTCTGGATATTGGYTTGGTCCCCAGGCAGTGCTGACAGACATGTCATAAACTTGGAGAAGAGAAAGCCCCGTGCATGGAAAATCACTTTGAAATAAGAAATTACAAAGTTCAGCAGAAACATCAGCGCAGCCTCCCAAAGCCAAGGTGAGGCCAGACAAGGCCCAAATGTGCTGCAAGGGTTGCACTCCCTGAGCCCATTGCTGGGGAAATGAAAATGTCTGTGGAGTGTTTTGCTGTTCAGAGTCACTGAGGGAGTCAGGGGATGGGCAGAGGCAGAGCACAGAGTCCCACACATCTGCACACATCTGCACTCATATCTGCACTAACATCTGCACACATCTGCAAACATCTGCGCACACATCTGCACACATCTGCACTCACATCTGCACTCACATCTGCACTCATATCTGCACTCACATCTGTACACACATCTGAACCCACATCTGCACACAGCTCTGCATTCATCTCTGCACACACCTCTGCACACACATCTGCACTCACATCTGCACACTCCTCTGCACACATCTGCACACACATCTGCACTCACATCTGCACACTCCTCTGCACACATCTGCACACACATCTGCACTCACATCTGCACACACATCTCTGCACACATCTGCAGTCACATCTGCACTCACATTTGCACTCACATTTGCACTCACATCTGCACTCACATTTGCACTCACATCTGCACACATCTGCCCTCACATCTGCCCTCACATCTGCACTCACATCTGCACTCACATCTGCACACATCTGCACTCACATCTGCACACACATCTGCACACACATCTGCACACATCTGCACTCACATCTGCACACATCTGCACTCACATCTGCACTCACATCTGCACACATCTGCACTCACATCTGCACACATCTGCACTCACATCTGCACACCTCTGCATTCAGGCCCTTTACAGCCCCAAGCTCTGACCTGGGCTCACAGCTCAGGGTGTGAGCAGCACAAAGTTTTGTAGATGTGCCTCAAAAGCACCTTGTGATGAGCCACCCCTGTGAGGAAACAGCTGTGGGTGCAGATTGCAGCCGAACACCCACAGATGCCTGAAATTCCATTTTTTTTTCAGATAGGTCAATTGCACCTGAGTGAAGAGGATGTGAGATCTTCTGTGCTAATGTATTTTGCACTTGTATGGGGTATTTCAATCAGGCACAGATCTGAAAAGAAACCAGCCAAGGAAAAGCTCATGTAGAGCAGAAATTGCTTTTATTTATCATCTGTAAAATGGGGAGAAGGAGAAAAACTTGATCCTGATCTGATCAGGCAATGGTCAAGAAAATTCACAGGATTTTTTAACTCTCACGTCCTTTTTCTAAATCTGAGCCAATGGTCTCTTGCTGCAGTTATCCCTGCTAAGTACTCACTTCTCTTTTGTCTTTGGGAAAAGGTTTTCCCATGGACCAGCTACATTACCTAAAGGCATAGCTTCTGGCCTTGTACACAAATTAATTTTTATTTTGCCAGCAAAGCTGTACATTTTCCCCATTTACCAGAAGATTCTTACCTTGCCTGAAGGTATTTTATTCTGGAAAGCATATCAAGATGCCCTGCTGAGTATTGCTCTATCACATCCTTTACATCATAAGGCCTCAAAGTCTCCTTGAACTTTTTTTTATAGAGACGAAACTGTAGTATTCTGCATAATAGAAAAAAAATATTAATTTCTTATGTAAATTCCATGACAAAAATTTCCAGTTTTATCAAAATATGGATGAATTCTCTAGGTGTTTGGAAATTGAGTGTGTTATTTCAAAATAAAGCAATAAAATATAAACTGAGAATCTATAACATCATTCCMCATTTGAAAATTTATAGTTGTTGGCTTTTCATAATTAATAGTGTGAAACAAATRCTTTAAATCTTCAGAATCACAGTTGGATATTGAACAACACAAGTCACAGGAGATTTTGAAGCTGTGAAGTGGAAGCTGCTTTTTTATGCTTCAGCCTATTATAAAGCTAATTTATAAGATATGTGATGCTGAATCATTTCCATCTTGGTTTCAATTTTGCACCTGGGAAAGCTTTGGATAGAAAATGCTAAATAGATACAAATGTGGAAGTTAAGAAGTTAGCAGCAGTTCAGGTTTKGAAGAGGTGAAAGATTTTTAGAACTGCCTGAAGTGTCCTTGAAAGAAAAACAATAGTATCACATTGTTGTTGTTGTTGTAATAATAATAATGTAATTGCTGTTATTATTGCTTTTATTATAAAATGACCTAGTAATTAGTAACAGAATGCTGGGCAGACCACCTGAAAAATGTTTGGCATTCTTTTTTTTTTGCATTCTTCTCTGTTTATACATTAAAAATCTTAAAAAATGTTTGGTTGATTAAACAAATAAAAGAAACATATTTAAATAATAAAATCTTYATCTTCATCTGGTTTGGACCTGGGTTCTGGATGTTTGCTTTCTCAGTAGAGTCTCCATGTATTTGTAGGTCTGAACTGGGAAACTGCTGTCATCTGTTAAGATTCTGACTTTTTTATTAATTTAAGGTTAGTGCGGGTTTTTAAGTCTTCATAAAATTTCATTTAGGAAAGATAATTCTATTAGAACTTTTTAAGGGTTGCTGATTTTTTAACTCTGTTGCTTATAAGTCTTTCAAGGTTTGAAAATTATATCTATGCCTACTTTATTCAAAATACACATGATAATAGCAAAACTAAACATTAAAAGACTTAAATGAAAAATAGGGATCACAGTGTTAGCAATTCTAATTTAAAATTTGCTTGATCATGACCCTGAAATCCAGTAAGTGGTTTTGTCTAAAATAATTACTCTTAGTTTGTCTAAAATAATTACTCTTAGTTAACATTCAGGATGTGGGTACGCTACAAATGAAAAAGAATCTTGTCTCCTGATTGAGTTTAAAGGGAAATTGCATGAATCAATTAGATTTGGACAGGATGTGGGAAAGAATTTTTTCAAAGGTAATAATAACGTCTCTGTTTGAAAGCAAGCAGGTGTCAGGGAAAGAAAAGGAAAACTATGGAGGACATAGSGATGAAGAAACTTCCAGTGGGAGGGAATAAGTCGTGGGTAACATGAGCAAAGCCTGTGTGACTTGGCTTTCAGCAGCCAGAAAACCTGGAATTTTTAATAATTAATTCTCCTGCACCCAATCAAAAAGAACCAGGAGGTACAAATCATGGTTATATACATATAAATATATGATTTTATATTTACAGCCATCTTCCCTGAACTTTTTCTAAGATACATGTGAGACATTCCACAGTGGTAAGTCTCTGGCCCAAAAATTAATAACTTCTGGAATAAACAGCAATTGCAATGAAAGCAGAGTATTTATCCACAGAGGCCTTTTTCAAGGGACGAGAGTAAAAAAGTACTGCATCAAAAAGTATCAGAAAATCAGTGAATGAAKTTTATTTGCTTGATGTGCTAAACACATGACCAAGGCTTACTAGGAGTTTCCTAACCTAGGGAATATCTCTTGAGACATGAAAATAGAGGTGACACATGTTCAGAAGTCAAAAACTGCTGAAATGGAGACCTCCGCATCTATTAAAACATGACAGCTGAAAAGCAAATTGCACACTCATGCAATTGTGATTAAAGAAAGGTTGAGTCAGCTCAGAGTTTTCTGTTAAACAAAAATTCCAGTTTTATATAAATATTAGTCACTAAATTGAGCAAAATACCATATTTATATAATATTTTAACAAGGAACAGTACAGAAAATTATTTTATATTAAATGCACTATTGAGTATCTTGTTAAATGGCATGTTACTGAAAAACATTCCCCTTTCTGTATATKTTCAACAGATGTTTAATAGGGTCTGTCTCATGTTTTTAAAAACATTAGAATTATCTCATCTCTTGCATCTAAAAATAAAGCAATAACAGAAACAGTAAATCAGCACGTAGCAAGATGGTCCTGAAGCATAAGCATTCAAAAAGACATTTACCTGACAGCTCGGATGGCTGTCTTGAATGTGGGGATCATATCTTCCATGGGGAAATCACTACTGTCACCTCTCTCTTCTGCCATGGGCTCGCCTGTTCCTGCATCTGCAAAGCAGGTCGAGAAAACAGCTGTGTGAACATCTAGCCACAATATGTTTAGAGGGATGTCTGGCTGAACAAGGCACTACATAAACTAAGTGCAATTTAATAAAGGAATATCTCTTGCAGGTTCTTCTTTCCGTGGTCAGGGATTTAAATATTCTGGGACAGGTGTAATACATTTTTTAAGAGATCTCCTCTCAGATTTCAGAAACACTGAATTTCTGAAACACTGGGCACTTTTCTTCCTTTCCAATGGATCTTTGCCCAAATTATTTTACATAAAGTCTAAAACAGGTGTAGAGCCACAGGTTGTCCTCTCACTGGCACAGCTAGAGGTCATGTACCTTCAGGAAGGAGAAAATCAAGTGTGGACACCCAGGCTACATCCAGGGTAGCGTGTTCAGCATGCATGGTGCCAGCTGGCACAAGAAAGGGGAAACTTATTTAAAGACCATTTAGATGCTGTGGGCAAGCAGAGAAAAATGTGTGCTCAGGGAAGGTGAGAGGAAAAATGCCCTATAATGTTGCATGAAGAGCCAATGGAAATCTCTGAGGGGCAGCAGTTTTAGGGACAGAGGGGGAAGGAAAAAGGCATTGACCATATAAAACAAGTTTTATGAGATGGCAGTGAGGGCACATTTGAGATGCTGGACACAGGCTATTGAGGGCTGGATGCAGCCCAGGAGGGAGCTGCCTTAGCAGCTGATAAACCAAGCCATCATGACTTGTGTTTTTGGGGATATCGATTGACTGCCCAGTGCGCCCTCTTTTCCCAGGTCAAACAGGCTAAACCCAGCACTGGCTTTATTCCATATCARTTACTGTTTTTAAGAAGGGCTGTTGTTTGACTTTAAGCATTGTGTTGACTGGACTCAGCATTCTTTTCCTCAGGCTTCCCCAAATGTATCCAGTTAAAACCAGGTACCAGACATGCTTGACCCAGAAAATCATGAACCTTCAACAGAATATGCAGAGGAACAAAGTAAAATGGGGGAACAGGGGATGCATAGAAAGAAATCAACACAGATGGGCTACCTTCTGAGCTTTGCCAAAAGGCGTATGCTTTCATTCGGAATGCAGTGCGAAAACGCTCCTTATTATTCAAGACAACATTCTTAGGCTCTTTTGAAGGACTTTCTTCAATGGCATCTACATTCAGAGGGGTAAATAGCTTTCCTTTAGTATTGGTACCACGAACCCGATCCAAGAGACCCAGCTTTTGGCTACAAAATAAGCAGAAGTAATCATTTTCCTCCTTTGTACACTATTGGCTTCTTTTCATGATGCTTTAAGTAAATAATGGCCTAAAAAATTGTTTTGTATACAAGGACACTGCTGGGGCTACCATAATAAATCAATGTCTTTGTAAGCAATACTTAAGGTCCACAGATAATTAACTGCTTTTTATGAGTGTTTTTTTTGGTATCAATGTTGAAAATGTTACCAGAGGGTCTTGCTCTTCTCTCCATGCAAGGTATCACAGCGCTTCAGCTCACGTAGCACACCTGAAGCAGTAGTTTTATTATCAAGGCATGAAACGACACTACTGCCACTGACAGGGATGTCATTCACTAGACCAGGTTGCTCAGAGCCCCATCCAACCAGGCCTTGGACATTTCCAGGGATGGAGCATTCCCAACTTCTCTGGGCAATCTGTTCCAGTGCCTGACCTCCCTGATAGTGAAGTATTTCTTCCTGTTGTCTAATCTAAACCTKCCCTTTTTCAGTTTGAGGCCATTCTTCCTCATCCTGTCACTACATGCCCTTGCCCAAAGTCCCYCTCCCATTTTCTTGCAGTCTCCCTTTAAGTATGGAAGGTGTTCTAAAGTCTCCCCAGAGCCTCCTCTTATCCAGACATAACAACCCCAACTCTCTCAGCCAGGAATAAAAGGCAGTCAGATGTGCTGTGAACCAAATAAACCAAATAAACCAAATAAACCAGCAAAACTCTGGCAAGGCATTGCCAATTAGTGATCAAGTACATGGTAGGGCAGACTACCCTGTTTTATCTCCACCATAACCTACATGAGTTGTAGTCAAGTGACAAATTTTGCTCCTCTGATGATTCCTTGCACTGTCTGTCCTCTCAGACATTTACTGAGCCAATACATTTGTCCTTCAGTGACAACACAGGGGTAGGATTTCATCTATCTGCCAYTTCACCAGCATCACTGACCTCCCTGACAGCCTGATGACTGCAATGATCTTAAAGGTAATCACTAATACCACTGAAAAGAGCAACAGAAAGGGAATTTGCTAGTGAATATATCAGCTTATACGTGTTCTGAACACTTTGTAGGTGATAGATGGTATAAATATTTGGTTTTCTTGTTCACTTTGCTATTTAAATATTTGTGAATTGCACAAAAAAAAAAAAAAAAAAAAAAAAAAAAAAAAAAAAAAGCAGGGCTAAGCCATGGGAAGAAAGCCTGCTTTTTAATACGTTCCTGGAAGCTGGGACAGCTCTTGGGAGAGGTGAGTTGTGCACTTAGGAGGGAAAAAGCTGTTATAGCTGGCAGGTTTCTGAGAGCCACAGGGGAGAGCAGAGCTGAAGGATGAACAGCCATGGTTAGCAAAGAGTTAACAGATATTCAGTGAGGGATCTGTGCAGGAGGCTCAGCTGCAGCCTCTAAACCTGCAGGACAGGCAATGGGGAGGGTCCTCTCTTCAAGGATGCAGGGGACAAAAAGGGAAATGTGTGCAGACCTTGCAGGTGTGAAAGAGGGATGCATTTCTCTCTCAGAGCTCTGTCTGCTGCAGTATCCCACCACAARAGGAGTTATCTGAGCACTGAACATCACAGCTGTGGCAAGATTTCACTTTGGTTATTTTCTCACATGAATTACTGGGTTCCTCATCTCCACCGTCAGTTTCTGAATAATGTATCTTTGACCCAGGAAGTCAAAGGAATGGAATATGGGCTTTCCTGGCAGAAAAAATGCAAACACCAAACCTCTGGGTAGGAAGTACTTTCAACCTTTCTGATTTTTTTCTTGTTGATATGGCAATACCAGTGAATGCGATTTCTGCAGCCTAGGAAATCCAGACACTCGTCCTATCATTGCATGTATGAAATGCAAATGTGTGAGTACTGAAGTGGCAGCTAAGGACTTGTGTATGGAAACMCAGAATTAGTCCTGATATGTCAGCACTTCCAGGAGAGAAAAGAATGGATCTGAGTGAAGAATTAGAACAGTCTAAATGAATAATATCTATATTATTTAGAATTTCCCTAATGTAATTTCCTGAAGAATTCATGGAATGGGGAAGAGACACACAAAGTGCAGACAAATCTATGGAGCGACAATCAGGGATTACTTCCTTCTTTATAGAAAAGTAGGAGATGTTGCTTTAGACATCTGTGACAAAATATGTTTTGGGCAGTTTCATGTTTGGGCTTAAGAACTCATTTAAAAAATTACTTCCACAGTTCTTGCTTTTGGGGTGGAATCTTGATCTGCTTTGCTGAGGTGCTGTCAAGGCTGAACCGATGGTGGGTGCAGGKTCCCACAAGTGATTTGTGTTTTGCTAACTTAGGGAGAATCCTGCACTCTCTTTTCTGCATCACTTTCACTTCTCTGTTTCAGAGGCCACTTTYGAGAGCAGTATTGCTTTACAAGACAGATGTTGCAGCTCTCTATGAAATTTGGATTCTTCAAGCACTCAGCTGCCATACATAGGAAAAATACATACAGGAGAAGAAATGAGCAAGATTAAAAAGGCATGAAAAAGTGAGGAAGTAAAAGTCAACAGAATGACTTGTGTGTGGGATTTTKGGGTGGGTAAAGTAGGGAAAATAAWTTTTCATGTGTCATTAGCAATAAAATCAAAGTTTGAAGGAGACATTAATTTTGAGAAGGATGGTCAAGAAGAGTCTAGAATCATAGCACACCACTGAAAATAATTTTAATGCAAAGAAATGCATAAAAAATCTAGCATGATAACAGAGTCAGCCAGGCAATGTAAACTGATGGGCTTGAAGGTGTTAGAGAGAGTGAGCTTGTAAGACTGAGCATTTCTTTAATATAAAGAAGAAAGAGCAGTGAAGCATGCATGGCATGGTGATGTTCTTTGCAGAGTGAAGGAGACTGTGAAATAAGTCCCAAGAAGGAAGAAACTGAAGCAGYTTTAGGATGAGGAGACCTGCTCAGTGATAATAAAATCACTGAAAAAATAATGCAACAGGCTGTTGTAGAGATCAGCTTTCTCTGGGTGGGGGATTAACAGCTCACTGGCAATAGATGATTGATAGAGGAATCTCAAATGGAAGGAAGAGTTGAGTGGTCACATACTGCACACTGACTTCAAGCAAAGTACTAAATGTCACAAGAGTTAGAAACACTGCAGAGAAGCTCTCAAGTGAAAAATATGTTTAAGGAACAGAACCTGAAAGGCAAAGAAGCAGAAAAATAGGTGAGGCTAAAGACAGCTGTTGTTTATAAAAAGCAATTTATTACTATATTAAATAATATAGTTGTCATTACATGTGGCCTCTGACTCTCTCCAGAAACTTGCTTAGTTCTTCAAAATACACCTCCAGTTGTCCCAAAGTTTGCCACTTAAAACTCCTGTGATAACTGCCTTCCATACCAGAAAAAAGGAGGCATGAAGTAAGGCAAGGATCYATAGGGATCAGACCAGAAGGAAAAGCATCAGTGGATGACACCAAGTATTCAAAATACTAATCTAGTGATTTTTTTTTTTTTTCAATATAGGACAGAAATATAAGCATGATATGCAGAAATCTCTGTCATAGTGTTATGCAAGGGTAGGACTGAAGATTTKATATCCTTCTCATAGGAAAAACAAAATGAAATATTCCTCTGCATTCAGCACAAAACCCTATTTATTTGCAGTGACATTTTCTACTGCGTATGTCAGTGCACTGGGTTGTTGTTTTCTTTTTTTTTTGGTGGGGTGGGACTTAAGGTGGATAATACAAACTGAAAACATTCCCAGATTCTCTCTCCAGAGAGTTTCTCAGCAATCCCTGGTCATAAGGGTCAGTTTGGGAAGAAACTACTCTCTCTAGATTGTTTCTTGAGCCCCTTAGGTTTAGGAGCTAGAACACATCTGATTTGTCTTAACCCATTAGAAAAGTTAAAGTTCCTAGGATTAATCTTTAGACCCATTTCTATAATCAGTGGGAAGTCAGCAACCCTAACCAGTGAGTGGAAAAAATGTGGTTCAGTTTGGGATAACTTCACTAGGGCAACTTGGCTCTTGTTATTGGCTACAGAAAGATCTAAATTAAAAGTTGTCTAAAAATCAGGTCTCTAGTCTAAGTTAAAGTTACCTGAGCTGAAGCCTTCTCATTACTGAATCCTGATGTTTAACCCTTAAAGTAACATTCAGATTCGTAACAGCTTGTTTATGCAACAAATATAGAAAATTGTGTTAATATCTGGCAGCCAGAGCAGTAAAATCATCAGAAAATAATTCAGCAGATTCGCATCAAAATATACAACCGCGTGTTGTATACAAAAGAACCCAAAACAAAACCCAAGCGTCTTTCCAGATAAGGACCCTCTGTCATCAGGAAAAAAAATTACTTTATTCTCACTTCTAAGGGATGAAATCTGGATCTGCTGGGGTTTTAGTTTTCATTGATCTTTTTAAAATACTGAGGAAACGTTTGTTCTGATGGCACAATGTCCTTGGTTAAAGCAGCATGCGCATGGCTCGGTCCCAGGGCGTGAAGCATGCGCAGGTCACACGATCCTTCATGAGAGGGGCTAGGACAGTGGTTCCCACCACGRCTTCATGCACTGCTGCTCCTCTTTCAGACTCCTCCCTCTGATGTTAGCTACTCCTCCTCCCCTTGGAACATGGTCCCACTTCATTCGGCTTCCTTACATTCAATAAAATATAATTCTCAGCTTCCAGAAACTGGGGAGATTCCAATCCATCCCAAACATGCTGACAAAAATGCATTGCATGCTGACAAAAATGCAGCATGCAATTTTCTCTGACTAGCTTGGATACATTGCCATTGCATCCTCTCCGTGGGTTCCAAACCCCGTGCCTTTGAAATGGGACCCAGGATGAGAATTCCTTAACTCTGTAGTAGATGCAGATCACCAGRAAGGGAGGAAGGTGAAAGCAGTGCAGACAGTTTCTTTCTACCTAAAGAAAAATTCAGCTCTCAGATTTTTGCTCCCCAGGAGCAGTGGGAATTCTTTTGGACCACCTGAGAGATTAATTCRGTGGCTGGATGTACAAG